TGAGGACGGAGGGGCAGAGGCGGGCGGAGGTGAGGGCGCAGGGGCAGGGACGGGCGGAGGTGAGGACCGAGGGGCAGAGACGGGTGGAGGTGAGGACCGAGGGGCAGAGGTGGGCGGAGGTGAGAACGCAGGGGCAGAGACGGGGCAGAGGTGATGGTGGAGGGGCAGAGGTGAGGACGGAGGGGCAGAGGCGGGCGGAGGTGAGGTCGGAGGAGCAGAGACGGGCAGAGGTGAGGACAGGGGCAGAGACGGGCAGAGACATAGCCGGGGAGAGAGGCAGAATCTGAGCCTGAGTGAGACAGACACATTTCGGAACAGAGGCACAAAGACAGGAGACAGCCAGCCAGGGTGAGACCAGCGAGCGAAAGACCAACCGATGGAGAGAGTAGAGGGAAAGGCAGAGGTATCAGTGGATTCGAAGAGAGCGATGTAGAGACAGAGACAGAGACAGACACAAATCCTTACCCAGATAGACAGCCCAGGGCATCAGACGGAGAGCAGAGTGCCAGGAGAGACAGACCCGGAGCCAAAGCCACCAAGGGCGCCGCCCCCCCCCCCCCCGGAAGGACAGGACCCTCTCTGACACTGGTCAATCTCCAACGGGCAGCCCAGTGCCTGGCACAGAGAAGAAGGTGTCCAGCAGGTGTCTGGGTCGGGAAGGCAATGATGGAGGAATGACTGTGTGAGGAGTGAGGGACAGGGTGCCGAGGATGCAGGGCGTGGGTGCCTTGGCCTGCGGGGGGGGGGGGGACCCCACCCAGCCCCGCTGACCCTCACCCAGTCTTGGCGAAGTTGGTCCAGTAGGTCATGACCACAGCGCTGAGCATGACGTCATTCTTGGAGAAGTTGCAGGGGAAGAGGTCGGTGGCGCCCACCATGGGCACGCCAAAGACGTAGGGCAGCTCGTCCCCATGCGCTGCGTCCGCCCAGTCGGGCCGGCCCTCAGCCTGGCAGTGGTGGTAGAAGGTATAAAAGTAGACAGGGGACTGGTAGTCGGCGTGCAGCTTGGCAGTGGCCACAGCCGGTGCCACCCACTGGTGGTCTGTGAAGAGCGCCAGCAGAGTCTTTCTCCGCATCTCGCCATTGTCCCGGTCGGCCCAGTCGGTGTACATAAACTTGATGGTCTCCCGAAGCACGTCCTTGCCCTCCGGGTAGCCGTACAGGTTGTCCACAAAGTTGGAGACGGTGAAGTCAAAGGCGCTGGCGGACACGCCGTCCTCGCTCTCCGCCGAGTCCTCTACGAACTTGAGGCCTTCTCCTTGGTTGACGCCAATGAGCATGTCATAGTTGAGGAATTCTCCCTGCTGCATGAGGATCTCAGGGTCATCGGGGACGACGTCACCGTCCACCACGGGCCCGAAGGCGATGTGGTAGCTGGGGAGAAGGGGTCAGGGTCTCATCACCTGCTCCCTGGCCTCCTCTCAGCTCCTAGCCTGCCGGGCCCTCTGCTCAGAAGACCCTTCCTTCTCCCCCGGGTCAAATCTCCTGAGTCCTTCAGGGCACTCAGCCTCTCGGGAAGTGTTCCCCGATGCGCTTCGTGGCCCCTTGTGCACCCTCGCTCTGTTTGGGTGCCTCCACGTGGGGCAGGCTCCCGAGGGAAGGAGGCAGGGCCAGCAGAGGGGCCTGCAGCCGGACGGAGTGCCCGCGGGCACCTCGCACCCTGAACCGCCTTGGGATCAGCCAGGCGAGCAGCCGCCAGGCCCCGGCCCTCCCCCGCCCCCATACCGGGCGGGCTGCACGTCTTGGTCCACCAGCTCCCGGGGGGGCTTCCGGCGCAGGCACTCCACCGCCTCGGCGCTGTCCTCCCGGTCACAGCCCACTTTGGCGGCCAGCAGCCGCGTGTACTTGAGCGGCTGGTAGTTGACAGACCAGCTGGAGATGGCCGTGCCGCTCTGGGCGATGGCCTTCTGGAACAACCCTGGCAGGACAGGCGCAGGCTTCAGGCTGGGCTTGTCTGCGCCCAGGGTGGGAAGTGGGGGGGGGGGGAGCCCGCTGGGGGGCAGCAGGTGGGAACGGGGCCGGGAGGGGCAGGCCGAGGCCTGGCTGGTACCTTCCGAATGGTGAGAGAGGATCAGAAGGTTGACACACGAGGCCCCGGCCCCCGATCCAAAGATGGTGATGCGTTCGGGGTCACCCCCAAAGTGGGCAATGTTCTCACTGAGCCAGCGCAGGGCCTGGATCTGGTCCAGGAGTCCATAGTTGCCTTTTGCAGCCTGGTCCCCGGTGCTGAGAAAGCCTGGAAGCACAGGAGGAAAGGGGCTTCCTGGGGGTGTCCGAGCACCCTCGCCCCCTTTCTGGGCAGCTCAGTCCAGCCCAGAGGCCATTCTGTTTCTGCCGGGTCTAGAGGAACACCGCCCACCGGGCTCCCCCGCAACGCGCCCCCCCCCCCCCCCCCCCCCCCGCCCCTCGAGTTGGCTGCCCACCCTCACCGAGCACCCCCAGGCGGTAGTTGAGCGTGGCCACGATGACGTTGCCATAGGCGGCCAGCACGGAGCCATCGAACATATTCCCGGTGCCCTCCATGTAGGAGCCGCCATGCAGAAACAGCATCACCGGCTTCTTCCCAGAGTCCCGGATATCTGCGTGGGGAGGGGGTGGGCGGCGGGCCAGGGTTGGGGGACAAGAACACAGTCAGACCAGCAGCAGCACCGCCCAGCTCCCAGGCCTGCGGAGGACCAGCCCGGAGCTCAGGGGACACGTCTCTCCCGTCCCTGGGGGGGCAAGACCGGATTCCCCTCCCTCCCTCCCCACGGAGCCCTGGCCGAGGGTCCCACCCCACCTCCTGCCGGCCTGCCCCGCGACACTTCTCCAAACGCCAGACAGGCCTTCCAAGAAGCCTAAGAGGTGGGGGGGACCCTCCCCAGGGCATCTGCTGGATCCAGGGGACGCCCTCCCCACACACACACAGCAAATCTCCTTCCTGCTCCGAGGCAGAGCAAACTCCCAAGGTGGGCTCTAGCGCTAGAGATGCTGGGAGGGTCCGGGCGGTTGCTCAGACTCGGGCCTTGGGTCTCAGGTCCACGTGGTAGCCTGGTCTGTGGGTGAGGGGGTGCCAGCCTAGGGTCCCTGGGGGCCTGGTCTCCTCCCCGCCCTAATTCCTTTCTAGGTCACCTCCCCAGTTACCATGGCAACCCCCAGCCTAATTACTGTGGCAGGAGGCAGGGTGGGAAAGAGCCTGCTTGATAAAGCCAGGGTACGGCTCTTTAGTCTCAGACGCCCCCCCACCCCCCCGCTGGCCTGACCCTGGGTTCTGCACTGGACGCCCCTCTTGCCCTGTCCCCAAAGAATCCCACTAATCACTGCCACGTGACCAGGCTGAAGCGTGACAGACTCCGGAAGAGGGTGGGAGTCTGAGAGGGCTTGCCAAGGTCCCCAAGGCTGTCTGGCCAGTACCCTTCCTTGCAGCCCTCCATGATTCAGCCACAGCGCCCGCTGGGGTCCCCCATGGCCCACAGGCCCTCCTCTCTCTTGACACTTGCAATCTCTGGCTAGGCTGGGCATTCAACAAACCAGAGCCAGGCCTGGGCCTCCACAGCCAGTCCCCGGCGGCTCTGCTTGCCTCCGTTCTCCTGCTAGAAACTTTTGTCCTGCCAGGAGGTGAGCCCACAGGACACTGAGACATTCTCCTCCACCCCTACGGGCAGCTTGCGGCCTCCAGTCTCTTAAGACCTTCTCCGCCACCTCCCTCCACCTGGTGGGCTCCGCCCTCTCTGCGTCCTCTCCAAAGCCTGCTCTTCCCCTCCTTCCGGAACCTCCCGTGGCCTTCCAGCCAGACTCAGGCCAGAGTCTCCTCCCTGCAAGGCCCTCTCTCCAAGTGCTCAGTTCTCCCCCTCCTCCCCACCCGTCACCTCCACTCCCAGTGTGGGGGGAGGGGGGGGTCCGAAAGGGAAGGAGCAGGGAGGGGGGGCTGGGGCAACAAGAAATTCAAAACCAACAACAAAAAAACAGGATCAAGAAAGAAGAAAGAAAGAAAAAAACAACAACCAAAAAGCAAGAAGCTCTTGGGGGGCAGGGGGGGCAGATTCAAAAAAAAAAAAAAAAAAAAAAAAAACAACAACAAAAAACCAAAACCAAAAAACCAAAAAGATCCGTTTTTTTGGAAAAAAAGAAAAAAAGAAAAAAAGTTCTTTGCATTTTTTTTTTCAAAATTTTGTGGTGAAACTTCAAGATATTGGGCCCTGTTTTCAAAAATTTCCAAATTCTTTAATTCGCTTCAAGTGTCTGCATTTTCTGCATCTGACAGGCTTTTTGAAAATTGTAGGTTTGTTTCTGACGTTTCAATTGTGCCATCAATTTGCCAACTTAAAAATTGGTTTTTTCAAATGTAGTTTTGCTCCAAATTAAAGTTGGTTTTGTTTTGTTTTGTTTTCAAATGTTACATTTCGCAAGTCTCCAAACAGTCCAAATTGCTGTCGAACTCTAAACATTTTATCCAATTCTTTGGTGGTTTTGTTTTGTTTTGTTTTGTTTTCTCTGACATTCCAATTTCTTTTTTCACTTATATTTTTGGCCGTGTTTAGCTTGGCTTGCAGGTTTGCTAGTGGGTCCAACATTGTTCAAATTTCGTTTGAAGTTTTCATAATTCTTTTGTCCAATTATTACAAATTTTTCTTTTCTTTTCTTTTTCGTTTTTAGTTGGGAGAAAGGACTGAGGGGCCTTGAGGGCTGTGGGGGGGCGGGGCATTTAGTTAGGGGCGGGGCCTTGAGCATCCTCTAATCAGCAACCACATGCAGCAGCAGGATTTTTAAATCTACCTGTGTCTGGCGGATTGAGCGTCGCCTCGTCACGTTTTTTTGTGAGCGGACCTAAGACCGGGAACACAAAACAGAGAAAAAAGGACAATTTTGTGGGGAAAAGATGGGGGTCGGGGGGAGGCGGTGGATGGGGAGGGGAGGACAGAAAGCAGAAAAGGGGAGGGTGGAGGGCAGAAAAAATAAGCCAAAAAAAGCAAAATTTGTTTGCAAGAAAAAGAAACCAAGAAAAGAGAAAAACGTTTTCTACAACCCAAATTTGTTTCCCCTCCCCGGAAAAAGTCATGCCCCAAAGAAAAGGTTGGGTTGTGGGGGTGGGGTGGGGTGCCTGAGTGGGCTGAGGCCTGTTTTAAGACATATTGACTTGGCTTGTCGCAGTGTTTGCTAATGGCTGGAAACGAAACGGTGTTAGAGGTGGGGGTCGGGGTGGGGAGGGGAGGCCCATCCCCAAGCCCCGGAGGCCAAGGCCAGCTGTGCCACCAGCGTCTCCACTCACACAAGGCCCTCTTCGGGGCCGGCCGGGCACCTGCCTGTTCCCCCAGGCTGCGAGGGAGGGGCTGCAGCAGAAAGGACCCATCTGGAGAATCTGGAGGGCAGAGCGTAGGATGGGGTTGGGGGCCGCCCGCCCCTGCAGCTCACAGCCCCTTCAAGCCCTCGGCTCCCCACTGGAGGGCTGGGGCCAGGTCAGCTAGGGCCGCCTGCCCGCCTGCCCAGCCTCTCACCCGGCCAGCATTCCTCTTCCATCCGCACTCAGGGGCCTGGCTTCTCACCCCACCTCCCCGATGTGGGGCGAAGCAGGGAAAGGGGTCATCAGGTCTTGCCCTCCATTTCACCTCTTCCCTCTGCACCCCCCAACCTCCTCCCTCACCCAGGCCTACTCTCCCCCCACCAAGAACGGTCAACTGCCCACCAGGGACATGAGCACCTCCCCCCGTCCCCCGCCCTGCCCGACACTGTTCTGATGCCAGAAAGCCCCCCTCCCCAATTCGGGGTTCAGTCCACAGATAGGGAACAGGAAACACAGTGCCCTGAGCCAGCCTGACACATAAGGGGCCAGGAGGTGCTGGGAGGCACGAAGTGTTCCCCTGGTCAAGGAAAGGCCCCAGACTGGGCTCAAAGAGTTTGGTTCCAGGCTTCTTTCAGAAGGGGAAATCGGTTGCGGGGGGGAGCTGGAAGCCAGAAATCAGAGGGGATCCCCCTGCTGATTGGTTTCTCCTCATTGGCATGGGCACGGATGGGTCGGCAAGGTCCAGGCCAGCCACTGAAGGCTTCTCCCAACTGGTGATGATTGCCCCATAGGGACCCATTAGGATTGGGGTCTGTTCTCTACAACAGGATGGGAATGGGGATGAAATCAGCAGGGCATGCGTGAGCGTGAGAATACTGTGTGTGTGTGTGTGCGCGCGTGTGTGCGCGCGCGCGCGTGCACGCGCACCTGCCTGAGTCAACATCTTCCTTGCAGAGCTGGTGTGAAGATTCAGTGAGATCACCTGCATGTGTCAGGCCCCAAGCAGCTCTGTGATAAGCGATGGTTAAAAATACAGAAGGTGTGGGCATAGGTGGTGTGGGGGGCAGGGTGGACATTGTGTGTGGAGGTGTTGGGGTGGACAGCCCATTGGTGGTAAGTCTTGGGTGGATATTCCACATGAGGGGTGAGGAGATAGCCCACTGAGGGGGACACTGGCATGGACAGCCTACAAGGAGGTGGAAGCGGGGCGGAGAGGCTGTGAGTGGAGAGCATGGAGATGGACAGGCTGCGTAGAGGTCCTGCAGTGAATGATTCAGAGGCCATTGTGAAGGGCAGGCTGCTGGGTTAGGTGGCCCACGAGAGGGCAGGGGGATGTGGGGTGGGTGGCTCTCCCATGGAGTGTGACGGCACATAGGGCGTACTGGGGTAAAGAGTCTGTTAGGGTGCTTGGGATCTGGATGGGATTGGAGTGGATGACACTTGCGTGCATTGTGGGCATGGGTTGCTAGGAGGCATGGTTTCCATGGGAGGGGTATTACTGTTATGGGGTGCACGGCTGGGAGGAAGAACAGAGGGCGGATGGTTGGAACCCGAGGTGCTGGGAGTGAGGTGTTTGAGTGCCTGATCTGCAGGTAGGGTGTAGGCTCGCTGGGTGTGCTGTCCCAGCCCAAGCTAGGATACAGGTGGTCTGTAGGTAGAGTTGGGGTGAGCAAAGCTTGGGAAGTGTGGAGGGTGTTGGGGACTGTGGTGTGAGGGGCCACGTGCAGGGTTATTGGGGCCAAGGTCTCTGTATGGGTGTTTCTAGGACACATGATCTCTAACTGGGGATACTGGGGAGCGTGGGTCTATGTGGGTGATCGGGTACACAGTTTCCGAGAGGCGTTGGGGTGTGTGCTGTGTGAGGGCCCTGGGAATTTGGATACGTGGGATGTTGGAGCACGTGGCCAGTGTGCAGGTTGGTGGGGTACCTGACCCCGTGTGCTGAGGATTTGCGATTCCCGGGGTGTGTGGCACGTGGGCACCTGACGTGCGGGTAGCTGGTGCCTACAGTGTCCATACAGGGGTTCCTGGGTACCAGGCCCATGTGTATAGTTGGCGGAAAGCGGCCTGCCAGGAGGGGGCCTCTGTGGAGTGTCAGAAGGCTAACGCGGGGCTGTTCATGAGGCCGGGCCTGGGGGCCGGCTGAAGTTCTGCTGAGTATCTCTGTTGGAGACAGCTGGAAGGTACTCTGAAAGATACTCTGCGCGCCGAAGGTTGGCTCGTGGAGAACTTTCCGGGACAGTGTGCTGGGGGTGCTGGGAGCGCTGCCTTGGTGAACTGGAGAGCTCCTTCTCCAGGAGAGCCGGCCACGGGGGTCCGGGAGCCCAGAGGGAAAGATGTTCTCAGGGGGATGGGCGGGCTGTGCTGTGAAGGAGGGGCCCTCCCTGATCCTTCAGGGGTGTGTCAGGGGTCAGGGGACGGAGGTTTGGGAGGAAGACGCACTAAGTTGGCGGGAGGCGCTGGGGATGCGATGGGATAGACAGAAGTGTGCGCATGCACACCGGGAGGAAAAACGAGGTGTCTCTGTTGTGTCTGAGGTGTAGAAGGAACCAAAGTGGGTACTTCTCAGGGACAAGCCGGGTCCTGGGGGTGGGAGGTGGGACAGCGCTGGGGTGGGCGGCTGGGCGTGGGGGGAGATGCTTCCAGTGCCTGCTGGCCCTCGGTGGCCACTGCGTGTGTGCCTTGGCGGGGATGGGGTCTATCAGCCCAGCTTGGTACCTGCTGCTCGCTCTGCGGGCACAAGGACCTTCTGGGGTGGCTGTCTGCAGGGTCGTTCCTGCGGCTGCCTGGCAGGCCCCGGTCTCACCCTCGGGGGTGGCCCCTACAAAGGCCCAGCTCCCGGCGGGGGGCGGGGGGGGGGAGCCCGGGGGTCTGCATGCGCGTGAGGGGGCTGCGTCCGCGGGGTGCCCAGCCTGGTGCCCGCGCCCTTACCGTCCTCGGTGGGCACGTAGAGGTTGAGATACAGGCAGTCCTCGCTCTGGTTCTGCACGTAGGTGGCGGCCGCCTCCAAGTTGTCGGTGAACCACACGGGCAGCATGATGGCGGGCAGCGCCCCGTGCAGGTTCTGCGGGCAGGCGGGCGGCAGGGTGGTGGCGTTGCGCACGCCGGGCCACGAGGCGGGGGCCTCGGGCGGCTGGAAACGGCGGGCGCCCAGGGGTGGCGTGGCGTAGGGCACGCCCAAAAACTGCACGACGGGGCCCAGGATCTCGTTGTTGAGCTCGCGCCGCACGCCGCGCACTCGCCCATAGGCCGTGTTCACCACTGGGAAGCGCTCCTCCCCGAGGCTGCTGAGGCCCAGGCCTGGGCCAACCGGGGAGCCGCCGCCGGGACCCCCTCCCCCCCGTTGAGCCCCTGCCAGCCCCACCAGACACAGCGCCAGGAGCCACATGCTGATCGGGGGACCCCCCCTCCCTCCCCGGGACCCCCCCCCTCGGAGAGAGAGAGAAGGGGGGGGAGAGGGAGGGAGGCCCCCCCTCGCCCCAGTAGGGAGGAGGGGGCGGGGGAAAGGAGGGAGGAGGGGGGTGGGGAGGGACCTGGGTTAGACTGGACAGAGAAAGGGTCTGTTCCTCTCCATGGAGGGGGCAAGGGGTGGGGAAGGGGAAGGAAGTGGGAGAAGGTGAAGGCAGGCCCGATCTGCAGGGAGGAGGCGCGGGGTATGCAAGAGACAGACAGACAGACAGACAGACAGACAGAAAAATACAGAGAAGTGGAAGAAGGGAAGGGAAATTGAACAGGGCAGACAGAAGGGAACAGGGAAACAAGAGACAAGTGGTTAGTGACTTGGAATTCAGACCAAGTTGCCCCCCACTTCTTCCGCCCTCAGGCCCCCTGCCTGGCACCTCCCCCCGAACCCCAGCAACCCCATCCCCAAAGCAGGGACCCAGATAGAAAAGTCTAAGGCTAGGGATAGGGTCGGGACGTGGTATACACCCAGGACAGAGCCAGAGGAGAAGGAGGGCCAGCTCCCCAGACCCAGCATGCCCTCCCCACCCTTCCAGCTGCTTTATCCCTCCCAGGCAGGCTCTCCTCAGGGACTCAGGAGTCCCAGTTCCCACCTCCCTGGGAGGGATGAGATAGACAAGGAAGAGAAAATAAAAATACCAAGTCATTAATTAGCAGGAAGTGGCGGGTTTTGTTTATACGTGTTAATTACTCCTGAGCTGTAATTTCATGGCATTGAACCCCGCACCCCAGGCCAGACTGGGGCCTTTCTTGGGACCACACAATCCCAGCACCTTTTCCTCCCTTCAACAGCCCATTCCCTACGGATCTGTGCAGCAGGGGAGGGAGGACCCCTTTTCCCTAGGTCTTCCTCATTTCTTCCATCAGAAGTTAAGGTGCCTTGAGGCAGGGGCTGGAGTAGGGAGGGGATGCTGCTGGAGGGGCAAATCCAGGGACGGATGCGTGATCCTGCAGCCCGTTGCTGGGCGACGGGATGCTGCCCCGCAATGTTACCTCGGCAACCGGCTGCAGCTTTAACCCTGGAGGGGGGTCTGGAGGAAGAGAGGAAGGGGCTGGCTTGGTTAGGGGGTACATTCAGGGCAGGAGGGCAGAGGCATGAGTCAGAATGCTAGAGTTTTCCCCAACCTTAGCATAGAGAAAGAAGTGTGTATGTTGAGGGGAGCGGGAGATTGGGGCATAGAGAACCCTAAAAGATCCGCCTCTTGCCCCTTGTTGGCCAATCAGAGCCTAGCCCTAGTGACCAGGCCTCTGGCTGAGGAGAAGGGATGCTGAGGTGGGTCTGGAGGGCATCAGATGCGGCCACGGGCTGCCCCCCTCCCGCGGTCTCCAACAGCCTTGGACCCCAGATGCCTCTTCCACGCATGGCATTCTGACCCATGTCCTGGGGGCAAACCTCGGCTGTCTTCTTGTCCCATCCCAGCTGTTTACCTCCCCTTCCCCTTGCCAGCCCCCCACAGTTGCTGCTCTGAAGCCTGGATGCTCAGGACACGGCAGGGGCAGGACCACAGACAAGATCAGACCGAAGGGGCAGACACCCAGGTCATTCCGGCAAGCCCCCCCCCCCCCCCCCCCCCCCCCAGCCACCAGAGCTGTTTGCTGACGCGGGGTTTTCGGAGCCAGGCGCCAGCCCGCGGGTGGCTCTCTGCAGGTGTCAATTTATTCCAGAGACGAGGACACAGGAATCCTTACCACACACACCCAGTCATGCCCTCCCCCTCCTCAGGTCCTCTTAAGCTCCTGTCCCCCCATCAGCAGGCTTGGGGCTGGCTCCCTCAGGATCTCCTCTGTCTGTGCAGGGCTGGGTTCTGCTTCCACCGGCCCACCACTCCCTCCCCCTCCTACTAACACGGTCTGACTCTGCCCCCCCCCCCCCCCCCCCCCCCCCCCCGCCGTCCGCCTCCCCCCCCCCCCCCCCCCCCCACTTAAGGTACTTTGGGTCCCTGGCCTCCTGGCTGCCAGCTTCTTTCCCCTCTTGCCTCCCACTGGAGCCCTCCCCCATCTCTCTCCCCTCCATAGCGCTCCCTCAGAGCATCTTTCCTGGCCTCTTCCAGCTTGCTCCGGCTTCTGCCTTCAGTCTTTTTCCAGCTCTCTCCTCCACATCTCCCTCCTTTTGCCCGTTTCTCAGCTCTCTCTCTCCTTCAAACCTCTTCCCCACGTTTCTCCCTTAAGCCCCTTCTCTCTCTGTCTCTCCCTCTCCCCTCTTTCCTACCTCTGTCTCCCCCATTTTCTCTCCCCATCTCTGTCTGCCACATCTTGCTCCCCCTCCTTCTCCCTATCCCTCTGCCTTGCTCTCTCCATTCCTGCCGGGGCCTGACTCCCCCAGCCGGGGAGAATTGAGGGAGGGGGGCTCGGGCCACAGGCCCCCCCCCCCTTCCTGCAGTGGGGAAAATGGCTTGGCCGGGAAGGGGAGAAGGAGGGGGAGGGGGAGATGGGAACACACGGGGTCTGTGGGCCCATTCAAAGGATCATTCATGGGCTGGAGAGAGGCAGAGACAAAGAGACCGAGACGCAGAGACACGGCGAGAGCATCCCTAGGCGGAGACACGCAGACAGAGCAGGCTGGGGGGAAACCAGGCGCAGGGAGAGAGACGGGGAGAAGGAGACCCCAGTGGACCGCCACGCACCCCCCTCCACCCGGCCCGGCTTAGCTCCTACCTGGCTCAGCCCTGGGGCCGTGGTGCCTCCATCCAGGGCTCCGAGTAGGGGGCGGACGGGCTTCGGGAGGGGGGCGGCGGCCTCTGAGCCCCCGCGGCCCCGCAGGCCCAGCCCCCGCCCGCAGCGCCTCACCGGGCGGGGGAGGGGGATCGCCCCAGCCCCGGGGGGCGGGGCCGGGACCCAGTCGATCCCCGGGGAAAGGAGAGGTAGGGGATGGGGTCAGGAGGAACCCGAGAACAGGGAACCCCGCAGTGGGGCCGGCGGAGCAAAGAGGGGGCAACGAGAAAGGACTGGATTGGGAATCCACTGGCTCCGTGGGCTGGCTTCGAGGGACCAGAAGGTGGTACCGGCGGAAGATCCTAAGGGATCGGGTGCGGGAGGAGGTGTCCACGGCAATCCCCAGGGGCCCGGAGCCCGGGAACGCAGGATCCGCGGTGCAGGGGCAGGGATCCAGCCGGAATCCTCGGGGAGGGGGAGGGATCTAGTCGATCCCGAGGGCGGGCGGGAGGGGGAGGTCCAGGGAGTCAGAGGAGGGCGGGAGCCGAGTCTGGAGCCCCGCGGTGGGGGTCGGCAGGGCTCCTAGGAGGGGAAGCAGGGGTAAGGGGGGAGGCTTCGGGGGACGCTCAGAAGCCAGGAGGCCCGGACTCCTGGCTCCGCGCGCCAGGGCCCACCCGCCCCGCGTCCATCCCAGCCCGAGAGTGATGATCCGCCGGCGGAGCAGCCGCAGCAGCCCCGCGCGTCACCGCGCGGCCGCCTCCCCCGCCCCCTGCGGAGAGAGCGGCGCACACCCCTCGCTCGCACCCGCCTGCCCGCCCGCCCTCCAGAGTGTGGGGGGATTGGAGACGGTGGAAGGGGGCGGGAGCGGACAGACCGACGGATGGACGAAGCGGGCCGGGGCAGGGTGGAGTCATTCCCCCCCCTCCCAGGTCTCCCACCCTCGGGGCTCTGGGGGTTGGTGGGTTGGGGGCGGGTAGGAGGCGGGGGGTGGGTGGGTGGTGAACCACAGGGGGCGGGGCATCATATGAAGAAGGCGGGGCCTTGCATCTGTGGGCGGGACCATCTCGGTAGTGGGCGGGGTTTGACTGCGATGGGTGGGGCTTGGCTATACGAGCGGCCGCCTCTTTTTGGGAGTGGGTCTGGTTTAAAGCTGGAAAGGAGGAGCCAGTGGGGAAAGAGGCGGAACTTTGCGTGGGGACCGGGATCTTTGGAAATTGGCCGGAGGTGAGGGGGGGGGTAGGTGTTAGAAGAAGCGATCAACTTTGAAAGTGGGCCAATCCGTGACGCAAATCCTCTAGTCCCGCCTCCCAACCCCGCCCCTCACTGCTCCGCTCCTCCGCCCCTAATTGGTTCTCGTTTCTCCGCCCGCCAGGCAGCTTCGCCACTCAGCAGAGGTTTTACACAGGCGCAAGTATCCGGGTGAGGACCTGGACGCTGAAATGAACCCGGCCCGGATTGGGCAGCCGTGGACATCATTTGCATGGGAGGCCGGGATTGGCTGGCCTCTCGGGTGGCCTGGGTGGTGTTCGTCCGGCGCGTGACCATCCGCTGCCATGGCCCGGCCGGGGACTGCGTTCCGCCGCTTGGGCGCCTTGTCCGGAGCCGGGGCCTTAGGCTTGGCCTCCTACGGGGCGCACGGTCAGGGGGCTGGGGACGGAGCTCACACTGCGAGGGCGACGACCGTTGGTGGGGGGGGGGGTGTCCAGTGCAGGGGCGGGGTCTGTGGGAGGTGCCAGACAGCCCTCGGAGCCTGACCCTTTTAAGGCACCCCCCCCCCGACCCCGGCCCGGTCCAGTTTGGTTCCCAGAAGTGCCCATGCGTGTTTCCACCACTCAGAAGCCTCCCGGGGACATTCCTTATCGCCAGTGTCCACCTGGGTCCCGCCGGGAGTTGGGGCGGTCGAGGCCGGTGCTCGGACTGGTAACCTCTGCCTCTCCTTCCACAGGCGCCCAGTTTCCGGATGCCTACGGGAAGGAGGTGAAGTAACCGCGCTGGGGCTGCCCAGCTTCCGGGTCGACGAGCGCCCAAAGTCTGGGGTCGCCGCGGAAAGCAGGGGACGGGCGGCGCGCGGGGCTCCGGAGCGCCGAGGGCGGCCAGCCTGAGCCGTGGGTGCCTGGGGGAGAGGCCAGCCGGGATCCAGTCTGCAGCGTTGCTTAGGAAATGTACCCCCCCACCCCCCCACCTTTCTCTTTTTCTTACAGCTCTTTGACAAGGCCAACAAACACCACTTCATACACAGCCTGGCCCTGCTAGGGGTGCCCCATTGCAGAAAGC